CTTTATTGTACAACTGCCTTAATTTTGCTGGACCCCAGAAAGAGTATAAATACAATTTTCATTTAAGGTGCTCCAAAGCTTTTTACTATCATTCTTTATATAATTTATCTTTGTTTCATAGTATAGTTTCATCTCCTTTTTGTTTAGTCACACGATTTCTCAATTTGCAGTAGGTTTGCCAATCGGTTATGCAGCCGGACTTATGTGTCCTCCTTTAAATCCTCTCACAGCAGTGAGTGTCTTTGCACGTGCTGTTGGTAGCAGCACCGGCTAACGTTGGTATCTATATAGCACAGTTCCAGCTAGGTCAGGTTGCAAAGAAAGATTTACCAAGAATTTACAAGAACTACGGTTGGGCGACATTTGGGGAGACGTCTTCTACCGATATCGCGATATCTGATATAATCGTTTTGCACCATTTAATTACTAAATAATTTGACTGTGCAATTTCTTTGCTTGTTTACGATATTATAGTCGCATTCTCATTCAATAATCTTAGTATGGTGAAAAAATAAGTCATAGTTATTAATTCATTTAGACTTAATTTTCAACATATTGATACAGCCTAAAAGAGAAAACAGTTCAAATAGAGTATGGTCTTTCGCAACCCAATATATATACTGCCAGGTCGCATTTACGTCATTTAGCAGACGCTCTTATCCAGAGCGACTTACAGTTAGTGCATACATTGTTCTTTTATTTTTTTTTTTTCATTTATTTTTTTTCATACTGGCCCCCCGTGGGAAACGAACCCACAACCCTGGCGTTGCAAACGACATGCTCTACCAACTGAGCTACCTCCCTGCCGGCCATTCCCTCCCCTACCCTGGACGACGCTGGGCCAATTGTGCGCCGCCCCATTGGTCTCCCGGTTGCAGCCGGCTACAGCAGAGCCTGGATTCGAGCCAGGATCTCTAGTGGCACAGCTAGCCTTAGACCACTGCGCCACTCGGGAGACTCAATGAGAACATGTTCTCAACTGGCTTACCTGGTTAATTAAAGGTGAAATAAAAAATAAAAAAAAACTTTTTTTTGAATATCATGATATTGGATTTAATCATATATCGGCCCAACCCTACCCAGAACCTAACCCCCGTCTCACCTCCTAGAGAACAGTGTTAGATCTGGCCGTGAGCCACACAGACAGCAACCTCCGACATAGCAATGTTATTTATCGGTCTAATGGGGCGGCAGGTAGCTTAGTGGTTAAGAGCTTTGTGCCAGAAAACCGAAAGGTCGCTGGTTCTAATCCCCAATGTTATTTATCGGTCTAATAATTGTTCTAGTTCACATTATTTAACTTTTTCCACTGCTTGATAAGGACTGCGGGTGAAGGCAGATGGATAGTTTGTCAGTGAATAAAGCCTCTGTGGCAGAGGGGTGTTGTTTTTAGTGCTGGATCTACCCTAGAGAACCTGTGTGCCCCCTGAGCATCCAGCCTGGCAAAGAGAGAGCCATCATAGTCCGGGAAGATCCTGGACTGGCTGGCTGGCTGACTGGCTGGCTGCATCATTTGGATTGTCTTTTTAAAGAGCGAATTGAAAAACCCAAGGTGTCTTGTTGAAAATGGTCTATGTTGCATTGATACGAGTCAAACATTTTATTCTAGTGTCAAAATTGACTACAAAGTGTAAATAGGATTTTGGTCATGAAGTCAGTCTCGTCCAAAATGGAGATTTGCGAGATGATTAGGAGAAAATTGTATTTCACGGATATAAGGGTACGCCACAGTTTTCCTTCAACCCTGTCCACAGCTGGCTGCACCCAAGTCATCATCAATTCGGAGCGCAGCTGCATGGAACCCGATCATAATGCCCGTGGTAGATTTGGTTTGACTTTGGATATCCCTATGGGACTAGTTAGGGACCATCAGTAAACTACACAATGTACATGTGACAATATTTTAAACATTTCAATAGCTCCTAATTTCAATTACTTAAACCTCAAAAACCAACTAAATTTGAGTTCATATATAAATATTGAAAGCATTTAATGAGAGCTGAAAGGTGTTCAACATCAAAATATTGTCCCATTTACTGACGGCCCCGAACCAACACCACATATGTGACCGACCGGCTCGATTCGGTCTAATGTAGCAAAATTTGAAATTGTGTTTTTTACATTGGATAAAAGTAGAGACTCAGAGCTAGAAAATGGTATATCACACACTACAGTTGAGGAACAATGGGAAAGTAATTCTGCTTTGAAAGTTGATCAACTTGTAACCTCACTTTTGAGAAAATGGCCCTTGAATGTTTTGGTACACCTACTGGAGAGATCTTTGTCTACACCCATTCGGCATCGTTCACACCCTCTTAAGCTTTAGCCCCACCCATCTCTTTAAGCTAATTAGTATTGAGCATCTATTAATGTTGTATTTATTGTCATTCTGCAGTTTGGTTATGTAAAGACTAAACGCTGACGTTCTGTACATTACCTTGGAAAATAATGGACAACGCAGCAGAGTTCATTTTCCCAAGGTAATGTACAGAACTGAGGCGTTTATCCTGCATATTCCGCAGTTGCCAAAGAAAACAATACTCAAGCACACATTTACCAATCGTTGATATTTACATTTATATAAGAGAATTCATAATTTCTCATCTTTTGGTTGCTAGAGACGTGAGCCGTTGGTTTGATTAGTTGTGTATTTATGGTGCGACCCGTTTGTTAGTTCTATATGTTCTGTTGCCATGCTGGCTGCCAACGTTCTTGTCCCTTGCTTGCTAGCTAGCCAACTAGTTACAGCTAACACAGTCACGACCTCCGCAGCCAGAATAACAGCAAAGTAGCTGCATTTGCGTTTGTTTAAGCTGTTTTCTATTGACATTCATTTACATAGATCCATAACAATGAGCTGACGATGCCCGATTTTTGCCAGGCATAGCTAGAAAAGTTTGCCTCCTCGTCAGGACACAACACCTTTCATTACGAGGAGATTACATTGCATATCAAACACTAGGCTAGAAGCTAGCTAAATAGTTTGCTGCTAGCAAACCTGCCATTATGAAAACCAAATTCAAAAATAACAGTTGCTGAAAACAGCTGGTTAAACTAGAAACATGTGGGAGGATTTGACAGCATAGCACCACTTGCGTCATGACTGCAACATATGGACCGGAGAAATTCATGTTCATCACTCACCACCATGTTTGGTCATCAGATGCTCCAGAATAATGTCTCTGCAAAATCAAATAATAATAATAATATACCATTTAGCAGACGCGTTTATCCAAAGCGACTTACAGTCATGCGTGCATACATTTTTTGTGTATGGGTGGTCCCGGGGATCGAACCCACTACCCTGGCGTTACAAGCGCCGTGCTCTACCAGCTGAGCTACAGAGGACCACCAAATCAATGCTAGCTACGTTCTTTCTCATTGGACCTGTGTTTACAATGCATCCAATTTTGGTTTGTGTGGTATTTGGTTTAGCTTTCTGTAACTTTGTAGCAAGTACGGTAGGCGCATATTGTGTCATGATTGCAAGGTGTCCCGATATCTTTTCCAACTGTCCCTTCTAGAATGCCCTTCTAACCAATCAGAAACAAGTATTCAACAATGCTGTGGTATAAATATATATATTTAAATGTATGTAGTTCTGTTCTTGTTTATTAATGTTCTGTATTGTGTCTTGTTTTGTGTGGACCCCAGGAAGAGTAGCTGCTGCTTTCACAACCGCCAATGGGGATCCTAATAAAATGTCAAAATACACTGAAGGGAGATGTCCTCTGACTGCATTAATTCTTTAAAGGGGCAATCTGCAGTTGCTACATCCATTTTTTGCTTTTAAATGAATGATATGAACCCATTGATTCTTGAAGAATATAACTTATAAATGCCTCATGAGCTTAGTTCAACTGTCATACCCCGTCAGAACCCAAAATAAAAGCTTGTTTTAATCCAATGTTTGTTAACAAAGTAAATGTAAACAAACACTTTATAGCCTTAAACCATGGTTAAAACGATAGTTTTGATATCATGGATGGTCAGTCTCGGTCTATGAATTTGAGAGTAATTACATTTCTCCAGCCCAATTCCTCAGCTTTTTACCGAAACGGGCAGGGAGTCCGCTTTGTTATTGTTTCAACTGACGATTGCCCCTTTAATCGGCCACTGTTTGTGTTTGTAACCTCTTGTTGTTCTCAGTTCAGAAGAATCTTGCACCGAAGTAGGGCTTTGACTACTCAATACCCTAAATGGTGAACAGGTCAATTCCAGAAACCCTTGGTCCTTAGTTGACTCACCATATTATCCTAGTGTTCTGAACACCCTGTTCTCCAGACTCCATCTACCCTCTCCTTAGTGTTCCACTTCAGTGTGATTTGAACAACAAGACCCCCCCCCCGTACAGACTCCATCCTGTGACAAACAAATCAATGTACCCTCACAAATTAACTAGAGCAGAGCCATTCCACCTGAGCACAGGGAAGGACAGACAGACAGACGTCAACACAACTTTGACCTGGGCAACAACTTGGCCCATATACTCATCCACTACAGGATATATACAGGCTCTGTCCATCTGTCTGGCTGTCTTTGTCTGGCTGTCTCCTGTTGGTCTGTCTCTGTTTGTCAGCAAGAATATGGTTTATAGTCTCTCTGTCTGTCTGTCTGTCTGTCTGTCTGTCTGTCTGTGTCTCTGTCGGCATGATAAACATTATTTACATTGCCAAAGCAAGTGAAATAGATAAACAATCAACAATCTCTCAGAAAAAAACATCTGTGTGACATGTAGCCAGTGATTGGCTGTATATGGTGGAAAATCCCTGTGTTTTGTGGGGCTACGATTGAGTGTGTGTGTGTGTGTGTGTGTGTGTGTGTGTGTGTGTGTGTGTGTGTGTGTGTGTCTTTCCCTCTGCATCAGTGGCCGATGGGCCACATTCACCTCTCCCATGGCCCTGTACAGAACCCTGGGAAACCCTGGGCCTCCCACTGAAAGCACAGGGGTTTTGAACTGCAAACTCTTTGCTGATAGCCTGGCCGACTCTACCATGCTTTAACCAGCCCAACTCTTTCTCTTCCTTCTCCAGATGTTTGTGGTGGACAAGGTGGAGGATTCCAGCTGTGCTGTCCATGAGTTCTCTATAACTGGCTCAACCTACGCCCCTGAAGGACAAGTGTGAGTGTCCCATATTTTTATTAGCTCGAAGCCAGTGCCCCTGCAGAAATCTAATTAGCATAATGCATAAAAAAAACCATCAAAATCCCTCTGTTTAAACTATCTGGTGGGGCTGCGTCTCAATCCACCGCATGGGCTGCGTCTCAATCCACCGCTGTTGATGTTGATGAAAACCCCATCATTCTATCCAATGTGATGCCAAATGATGATAGTGTTTTAGGCCCTCGTCACTGTTCAGGGCTCGTATCCACAAAGCATCTCAGAGTAGGAGGCTGATCTAGGATCCACACACACAACGACTGCTCCCGGAGCACTGAGCTCCCACAACCATCACACAACGACTGCTCCCGGAGCACTGAGCTCCCACAACCATCACACAACGACTGCTCCCGGAGCACTGAGCTCCCACAACCATCACACACACTCACTGTCAACCTCTCCAACCTACCAGCTACATTGAATGTTGTGAACATACCCAGCCGTCACTATGCCTTGAGACGTTTACGAGACATCTTAAGATTACTAGTTGTAACACACAGATACATAGACGTAGCTTGTGTGTACAGGAAGAACAGTGCAAGTACTCCATTATTTGTTATGAGAGTGAATTATGGTGTGTGTGTGTGTGTGTGTGTGTGTGTGTTCTCTCTCCCAGGTTGAAAGGGGACAAGGTGGTGCAGTGTGGAGATTATGATGGACTTCTGGAGCTGGCTACCGTGTGTTCCATGTGCAACGACTCCTCACTGGACTACAATGAGGTCAGTTCTGACAACACACACACACACTATGGTCTTGTGAGACATTAAGGGACTGTTCTGTCACCCTCTGGGCCCCTATCCTTTCATCCAGTTTTCCTCAGGTGGTAAAAAACCTTCGCTTTAAACAGCTGTGGCACGCACACCCACACATACAAATACACACGGTTAGAGCGTTGGGCAAGTAACCAAAAGCTAGTTAGAATCCTGAGCTGACTAGGTGAAAAATCTGCCGATCTGCCCTTGAACAAGGCACTTAACCCTAATTACTACAGGGTCGGGGGGGGGGGGTTGGGGGATATGCAAAAAAAAAAACATTTCCAATTCACACCACACACTATATAATCATCCCCTATTTGCACACACACACACACACACACACACACACACACACTGAACTGAGCCGTAAGTGTGGTTGAGACATGACTACACATCTGTTGCTGCTTTCTCCTAGGTTTGACTGATGTCATCATTAATGTGGAGTTGGACTAACAAATGAGTGTGGTTGCTAAGCAAAGCAGACTCCTCTCTTAGAGACCGGGCTTTGTGCCGGTAAGACAAGCTGGGAAACGTCTTCATGGACTTAGCGATGTATACAAATGACCTACTACATTGCCCTGAATGCATGAATCATGACCAAGGCACATGCACACACGCAAACAAACAAACAAACAAACAAACAAACAAGAGTCTTCTACAATAGCCAATCTAATTTTACTGTTATGTGTGATTCTGTTCCTCTAGTCTCAGATTGTTTTCTCACCTCTCAGTCATCACCATGGTGCCATGGTAACCATGCTGCGTGTAAAGGGAAGCTGAAGACATGGCAGTCTAATTGCAAGATATTCAAACACTGACAAGATTCCCAGTATAACGGAATTAGTATGTAATGCCATTTTTTGTGAAAGTTAACCAGCAGAATGTAAATGGCTTATCCCAACTAGACATAATGGAGGGATGGAGGAAAGTCATTTAGGGGGATGGAGGTGGAGGTAGGAGGAGAGAGGGCAGCTGTGTGGAGAGGGAGAGGGGTGGAGGAGCCTGGAGGGTTGTTGACCATGGTGTGGTTCAGCTGGTCAGACAGACGGACAGTGTGGGCAGAGCTGTACCCTATGAAAACCTAGGTGGTTACCATTCTCACATCATAATAATATATCACTGTCCTGGCTCTCTCTCGCTCCCTGAATGACGGTGTGTTTCAATGCTTTTGACTCTTACCCCTCCTGTCTCCCGTCCCAGGCCAAAGGAGTGTATGAGAAGGTGGGCGAGGCGACAGAAACGGCCCTCACTACACTGGTGGAGAAGATGAACGTGTTCAAGACTGACACGTCAGGCCTCAGCAAGGTGGAGCGCGCCGGAGCCTGCAACTCAGTAAGCAGCTAGGGGAAACACTGGGGGGAGGTAGGGAGGGAGTTGTGGATGGAATGTATACAGCACTACTATTCATACATGTTGTGTGTTATTAGGCATAATACATACTGCTCGCATATTCAGATACGGTATTTAATTATGCATCTAATATGTTGTCTTGAATAAAGTGATTAAACAACTGAATTTGGACAACAAGTTTGAAGAAGGTATGGTAATGGTAGCTGGTACAACCTCCACCTAGATTACCTCAGCCTCTGTGGTATGATATACTCCTATTGTCCCTGAGGGGAAATTTGACTTGGACAATCGAGTGCTGCTGCTTCCACATAGATACATCAATACATAGAATCGATTTGAAGTTTCTCACACAGAACGGATTATGTAATGAAACCATTGATTGCTCCATCAGTTGCCCAAATTGGATTGGTAAATGGCCGGCCTGCACCTTATTGGTTAGAGGGATCCCTCACAGAGAGTAGAGACGTGTTCTAGAAGCTTCGCATGGAAAAACTGACCTCACTGCTTTGTGGTCAATGCCCAGTGATGGACTCTCAGAGCTTCCGTCTGTGTGAATAATGGCTTTCCTGCTCTGAGTCTGTCAATGAGAAGTGGTACGTCTTCCCTACTCTCGGTCTTTGTGCATAACCAATGACACTGTGACAGGAAGCCGCGAGAGAGAGACTAACTCCCTGTGCTCTTTTCAATGACCAGCGGTTCCAAGTTTTTCCACGGAACAGTCCCACGATGAGAAAAAAATACTATCACTGTCACAAGTCTTGTCCTTGGAGGCTAGAGATGATAATATTTAGACAAGCCGGTGGGTTTATGAAGAGGTTAGCTAAACTTTCCAGCCCTCTGTTAGGGCTTTCAACAGAAAAAAGGAAGATGTTGTTTCCTACTAATGCATTAGACCGACTTGAACTCACGTTCCTCGACTTTTGTTTTATGATGGGAGGAAGAGGAATTTTGGTTCAGTGGCTGTCTTTCTGTGAGGACATCTGTCAAGTGTCTAAGGCCCCTGGCATCGTGTCTCCACGTCATAGCTGTCTGAGCTGGGAGGGGAGGAGAGGAGAAGGGAGGGAGGCTGGGGGGGGGGGGGAGGCTGGGGGGAAGGGATGATGGGAGGGAGGGGAGAGATGGTAGTGATGAAGAGGGAGGGAGGCTGGTAGTGGGAGAGGAGAAGGTAGTGGGAGAGGAGAAGGTTGGGGGAGGGATGGGGGGGAGAAGGTAGGGGTGGGGGGGTGGGAGGGAGGGAGGGAGAGGAGAAGGTTGGGAGGGAGGGGGGGTTGGGAGAGGAGAGGAGAAGTTGGGTGGGAGAGGAGAAGGTTGGGAGTGGGTGGTTGGTGGGGGTGGGGGAGGGAGGGATGGGGAGGGGAGGGGAGGGAGGGAGGGAGGGAGGGAGGGAGGGAGGGTTGGGTTGGGTTGGGTTGGGTGGGAGGGAGGGAGGGAGGGAGTGGGGGGGAGAAAGGTGGTAGAGCGATAGAGATGCTGGGAGGGAAGCAGTGGGTGATAGTGTTCCGACCTGACTACCAGCCTGAGAACTCCCTGAGCTGTGTAACTGGAGCTAGAGTGACCCCTACTGATACAAATGCTCCATCAGAATCCACTCTACTATACCCAGCCATTAACCATCCTTTAGATGGTTGGTATATTCTTATGTATTTATAGCAGTGTTTTTATTTGGCAGATTTTGAAGGGTGTGAAAGCAGGGCTGTATACATCCCCTGGTAACCATACACGTCACTACAAGCTTAAAGTTGAGTTGCTAAGGGTGTGTTTACACAGGGAGCCCAATTCTGATATGTTTTTTTAAAAAACTAATTGGTCTTTTGACCAATCAGATCCGCTCTTTTGCCTATAATTGGGCAACCTTTGAAAACTCGAAAACTCTAAAATTGGTCTACCTTTGTAAAGCCTGTCAGTGCCTTTACCTCTGTACCACCTGTTGTCACTGGAGCTTCACAGACAGAGGGTCCTTTCTAGCCCACATTGATTCTGGAAGTTCATATATACACACTTGCCCAATTGTCTGTCTGTTGCCTTTGGCTGACTGTCCAGACAGGATGTTAGAGCACCATCAGTGTTTTCACTACGAACCAACCGGAAGCAGACAGAACGAAACAGGGAAGGACCTACCTTAATTTGTCCAATAGAAACTCTTTTTCGTTTTCGTTGCAAATGGTTTTCCATTGTGAGGCGGTTAGCTACAGTGTAGAATAATGATTACACCCCAGGTGTCAACAACACAGCTAAACCTCCCAGTCCTAGTCCCCCACCTGGTCTGATAGAGAGAGAACCCTCCCTCCATCACAACAACACAGCTAAACCTCCCAGTCCTAGGTCTGATAGAGAGAGAACCCTCCCTCCATCACAACAACACAGCTAAACCTCCCAGTCCTTGTCACCCACCTGGGCTGATAGAGAGAGAACCCTCCCTCCATTACAACAACACAGCTAAACCTCCTTGTCCAGAGGAGACAGGGTGTTGGTGTCTCATCCATCACGGTTGAGTTCAGTTGGCGTCATTGTTTGCTACGTTGCGTGATGCTCTGTACTGAACGACACGTTTCCCCAAAACGGTGCACACCGTTCTTCAACAGCCTTTGCGGTACATTTTGCTCCTGGTTGGTAGGTGTGGCGAGGTGTAGTCTGATCAATATGGGACCAGTAACTGCGCTCTGGGCCACCATAATCAAGCTTTTCAACTGGTCGTTCAGTACAGTACCGTTTCCGTTAAATTCAACGTTGCACACCGTTCTGCCATACTGAACGCAACTCGTGTCTGCAGCCCAGCCAAGACTCCCGCCCCCGGCCATCACCCACCTGCTCTTATTGAGCCCAGCCATTAGGTGTCAGCAACCCAGCCAGAGAAGCATCCCACTCTGTCTCCCACCTGGCCCATAAGAGCCCCCTCGATCACAACAGCAGCACAGCCAAGCCAGAGTCAAGCCCCCCAGTCCTCCACAGCTGCCCACTAACATGCCTGTCTGGAATAAACATCTTGGGCACCGGCATCTGCCTCTCTCTCTCCATCTGCCTCCATCTTTCTCCATCTGCCTTTCCTCTCTCCGCTCCATCTGCCTCCCATCTCTCTCACATGCCATCCCTCTCCTCTCATCTCTCCCTCTCTCTCCTTCTCCATCTCCTCTCCACCTCTCTCTCCTCCCTACCTCTTCCATTCTCTCTAATCTGCATTTATCTCTCTACCATCTGCCCTCTCTTTCCTCTCTCTCCATCTGCACTCTCTCTCTCTCACTCATCATGGCTCATCTCTCTCCTCTGCCTCTCTACCCCATCGCCTCTCCTCTCTCTCTCTTCTCTCTCTCTCCATCTGCTCTCTCTCTCTCTCATCTGCCCTCCTCTGCTCTGCTCTCTCTCCCATGCTGCTCTCTCTCTCTCTCCTCTCTCTCCTCTTTTCATCTGCCTCTCTCTCTCTCCTCCATTCTCTCTCTCTCTCCTCTTCCTCTATCTCTTCTCATCCATCTGCTCTCTCTCTCGTCTCGCCTCTCTCTCTCCACTCTCTCTCCATTGTCTCTGCATTCCTCGCTCTCTCTCTTCTCTCTATCTATTCGTCTCGCTCTCTCTCTCTCCATCTGCCTCTCTCTCGCCACGCTCTCATCTCTCTTGTGCCATCTGCCTCTCACTCTCTCCATCTGCCTCTCTCTCTCCATCTGCCTCTATCTCTTGTGCCATCTGCCTCTCTCTCTCTCTCTCTTGCCATCTGCCTCTTTCTCTCTGCCTCTTACTCCATCTGCCTCTTTCTCTCTCCATCTGCCTCTCTCTTTCTCTCTCCAACAGGTGATCAGACAGCTGATGAAGAAAGAGTTCACTCTGGAGTTCTCTCGCGACCGCAAGTCCATGTCGGTGTACTGTACCCCCACCAGCAAACCAGGCTCTGGGAGCAAGATGTTCATCAAGGTACACGCAGACAGACAGACAGACAGACAGACAGACACCTCAATCAACAGATCTTTCACATGCTGTAATACTATAGAGGCAGACTCTATGCATTTTCCCTACAAACCAGAGTGAGAGAGGAGCTTGGATGTCCAGGATGGTACATTGGGGACCCCTCTACTAACCCCCCCCCCCCCCCAAGAAAAAAAAAAAACAAAAGAAAGATCCCTCCCTTCCAACCATATATATATATATATTCACGCACAACCCCTACCACTCCCACAGGGTGCCCCAGAGAGTGTGATGGAGCGTTGCCAGTACCTGCGTGTTGGCACAGGGAAGGTGCCACTGACCATGCCGCTGAAAGAGCAGCTGACCTCACTGATCAGGGACTGGGGCACGGGCAGGGACACGCTGAGATGCCTGGGCATGGCCACACGGGACTCGCCACCTAAACAACAGGACATGGATCTGGAGAACTCCACCAAGTTCGATGAGTACGAGGTCAGTCCGAGACGAACAAGAAGCTGAGTGAATGTCAGACTCATGGGCAGACTAGGAGATTACCTAGTTCACGCTGGAAAACGCATCCACATGAATCAGATCTAAGAATGCTACATCCTAGTGTATTAATGGTATACGGTTGCTGGTGAGTCATCTATCATACAATCTTGGTACATCCAGGTTGTATTTCAATCGTCAAGCTGAAGGGTGAGAAGGAGAGAGAGGAGTGAAGGGAAGAAGACGGGATAGACAGAAAAGGAAGATAGAGCAGAGAGATGAGAGGAGAACGAGAGAGAGAAGAGAGAGAAGGAGCGAAGACAGGAGAAAGAGCAAGATAAAGGAGAGAGAGAAGAAGAGAAGAGAAGAGCACAGTAGAGAGAAGGAAGACAGAGAGGCGACGAAGAAAGGAGAGTACGCAGAGCGAAGAAAAGAGAGAGAAGAAGAGAGAGGAAGAGAAGAGAGAGAGAAGAGCGAGAGAGAAGAGACGGAGGAAGAAGAGAGAGTAAGAGAGAAGAAGAAAGCGAGAGAGAAGACAGAAGAGAGAGAGAGACGAAGGAGAGAGAGAAGAGAGCAGAAGCAGCGAGAAGAAGAAGAGAAGAAGAGAGAGAGCAGCGAAGAGAGAATCCTCTCTCATCCTCTCTCTCTCTCCTCCTCTCTCTCTCTACTCCTCTCTCTCTCCTCGTCTCTCTCCTCGTCTCTCTCCTCCCCTCCCTCTCTCCTCGTCCTCCCCTCCCTCTCTCCAGACGGGCCTAACGTTTGTTGGCTGTGTGGGCATGCTGGACCCGCCCAGGAAGGAGGTGATTGGTTCCATCCAGCTGTGCGCCGAGGCGGGCATCCGTGTCATCATGATCACCGGGGACAACAAGGGCACGGCCGTGGCCATCTGCCGACGCATCGGTATCTTCGGCGAGGATGAGGATGTGATGGGCAAGGCCTACACAGGCCGGGAGTTTGACGACCTGCCCATAGTGTCCCAGAGAGACGCTGTGAAGCGGGCACGGTGCTTTGCCCGCGTGGAGCCTGCCCACAAGTCCAAGATCGTGGGCTACCTGCAGTCGTTTGATGAGATCACTGCCATGGTGAAGAGAGGGTTCACACAGCTCCTCCCCCTTTTTTGAGTCCTTTAACTGCATGGCTGTGGGAGCTCAGTGCCTCATTTCATTAGAATCAGTATAATCCTGACTTGATCTAGATTAATATTGACCTTATTTGAAATTAATAAATGAATCCATAGATACGCTGTATGTTAGATCAAATTCTTTGGATAAGTCACTTATGGGCCAATCTATTCTGACTTGAGTTCTGTGAAGGGTCAAGTTTTCCCATCTTATGTCTGTATAACACCCTATTAACCTATAAGAGTCTAACCCTATTAACCTATAAGAGTCTAACCCTATTAACCTATAAGAGTCTAACCCTATTAACCTATAAGAGTCTAACCCTATTAACCTATAAGAGTCTAACCCTATTAAATAAATAAAGAATGAAATATTCCTCCTTCTCTCCACAGACTGGTGATGGAGTGAACGACGCACCAGCCCTGAAGAAGGCAGAGATTGGCATTGCCATGGGCTCGGGCACAGCTGTGGCTAAGTCAGCATCTGAGATGGTTCTGTCTGATGACAACTTCTCTACCATCGTGGCGGCTGTGGAGGAGGGCAGAGCCATCTACAACAACATGAAACAGTTCATACGATACCTCATCTCCTCCAACGTGGGAGAGGTCGTCTGGTAACCACAAATGCACACACACACACACACACACACACAGCATATGTTTTACTATCCTTGTGGGGACCTAAAATTGATTTCCATTCAAAATCATATTTTTTCCTAACCCCTAACATTTACCTCTAACCCTAATTGTAACCCTAAACTTAACCCCTAAAATAGCCTTTGTCCTTGTGGGGACCTGGGAAATGTCCCCATGAGGCAGAAATATCCTTGTGGGGACTTTGGGGGATTTCCACGACGATAGTAAATCGAGCACACCACATCAGATAGACACCCACACATGTTTTCCTATGGCCAGTCTCCTAACCAGAGTTTTCAGGAATGCTGACTCTTGTCTTTATGTATTTCTGATATTTTTTCCCTCGCTGTCTGAAGCATCTTCTTGACCGCCATCTTGGGTCTACCTGAGGCTCTGATCCCGGTCCAGTTGCTGTGGGTCAACCTGGTGACAGATGGTCTCCCTGCGACTGCCCTGGGCTTCAACCCCCCAGACCTGGACATCATGGACAAGCCCCCCCGCAACCCCAAGGAGCCCCTCATCTCTGGGTGGCTGTTCTTCAGATACCTGGCCATCGGAGGTGAGACACCGTCTGGTCCACTGGACACTGGTTAGAAAACAACAGGAGTTACCCATCGGCAGCTCCTTCAGACTCATCTTTGTATCCGTAATGTATTTCATGCTAGCTACTTAAAGATGATCCTTTACATTGGGGATTAAATCATGATTGACTTGGATCTCACTGTTGCTGGGTCTCTGACTGACTGTCTGTCTGACTGTCTAACTCTGTCTGTGTGTTCCTGCAGGGTATGTTGGTCTGGGCACGGTGGGTGCTGCCACCTGGTGGTACCTGTTTGATGATGAAGGCCCACAGGTGTCCTTCTATCAGCTGGTAAGTGGAGACAAACACACCTTTACAAAGACTTCATTAGGGCCTTATTCATAAGACACCAAGTGGAAGAAAACACACTGAAACGGGAGAGGGACTGTCCAATAAGAAACGCTTGTTTGTTTTTTTTCCCCCCTGTTGCAAAATGTTTTGCTACAGTGTGTCCTAATGAGTAAGACCTAGTATTGAATATGTCTTAGGATCCCCATTACCTGCTGCCAAGGCAGCAGCTACTCTTCCTAGGCTCCAAACAGGGTTAAAACAATTACATCACAACAAAACAACAGCCTACATTTAACAAATATAATAAACAAAAACATGATTAAAAAGTCATTATTACATTATAACTTGATTACAAATTAACAATCTAAAATGTACAATGCTACATTATTACAATGTGTTTGTGTGTAGAGTGAGTGTGTTTGTGTGTACGTCTCTTCACGGTCCGCGTTGTGCCGTGAGGTGTTTTTATCAATTCGTTTTTAATCTGATTTTACTGCTAGCTTGAGTTACTTGATGTGGAAGAGTTCCATGTAGTCATGGCTCTATACTATAATATAATAATAATAATATGCCATTTAGCAGACGCTTTTATCCAAAGCGACTTACAGTCATGTGCGCATACCTTTTTACGTATGGGTGGTCCCGGGGATCGAACCCACTACCCTGGCATTACAAGCGCCGTGCTCTACCAGCTGAGCTACAGAGGACCACTCTATGTAGTACTGTGCAGTCAACCCTTTATCTCTGCTGCTCCTAGAAATGTTGTTCTGGTGAAAACAGTCACTTTCCAATCACCTCGTGTTTGTCTGTGTTTTCAGACCATAGTGCTTTATCACGTAGGACTGATCTTGACTGGATTTGGCTGTTCTTATGTTCAGCCCCCCGGTTACCCCATCAGCTGTTTGCCATGACGACGATCTCTCTGGGGTCATACAAACAGAGAAATAGAATTGGAGGAGAACAAGACCCGTGGTCTGAGGGAAGGAAGAGAAAGGTCAGAGAAACAGGAGGAACAGGGGAGGAGAAGTTAGAGTCCAAGGGTCCCCAGAAAGAGAAATGTCAGAGAAGGAAAGGGGGAACAGAGGAGGAGGAGAGGAACTGAGTCAAGCTGCTGTGGGGTCAGATCTGATCTGGGACCCATCATAGCATGTCTCAGGGGGTTAGGCCACTTCCTGTGGACACAACACACACACACACACACACACATTGTGCTCCGATTGTTCTGGTCATTGACTTGTGGGAAGTCAGTCAAGCTTTGGAATAATACTCCAATATACAATTAATGTATCTACAGTGCATTCGGAAGGTTTTCAGACCCCTTGACATTTTCCACATTTTGTTAACTTAAAGCCTTATTCTAAAATTGATTAAATTGTTGTTTTTCCTCATCAATCTACACACAATACCCCAAAAACAGGTTTTTAGAAATTTTATCAAATTTATATTTAAAAAAAAACTGATATCACAAGTATTCAGACCCTTTACTCAGTACTTAAATAATAATTGTTGTTGTATTTTTACACCTTTTTCTCCCCAATTTCGTGATATCCAATTGGTAGTTAGTCTTGTCCCATCGCTGCAACTCCCCTACGGACTCGGGAGAGGCGAAGGTCGAGAGCCATGCGTCCCCCGAAACACGACCCTGCCAAGCCACACTGCTTCTTGACACACTGCTCGCTTAACCCGGAAGCCAGCCGCATCAATGTGTCAGAGGAAACACGGTCCAGCTGGCGACGAGTCAGCTTGCAGGCGCCCGGCCCGCCACAAGGAGTCGCTAGAGCGCGATGGGACAAGGAAATCCCCACCGGCCAAATCCTCTCCTAACACGGACGACGCTGGGCCAAATGTGCGCCGCCTCATGGGTCTCCCGGTCACGGCCGGCTGTGACACAGCCTGGGATCGAACCCGGGACTGTAGGGACGCCTCAAGCACTGCGATGCAGTGCATTAGACCGCTGCAACACTCGGAAGGCCCTACTCAGTACTTTGTTGAAGCACCTTTAGCAGCGATTACAGCCTCCAGTCTTCTTGGGTATGATGCTACAAGCTTGGCACACCTGTATGTGGGGAGTTTATCCCATTCTTCTCTGCAGATCCTCTCAAGCTCTGTCAGGTTGGATGGGGAGCGTCTCTGCACAGCTATATTCAGGTCTCTCCAGGGATGTTTGATCGGGTTCACGTCCGGGTCTGACTGGGTCACTCAAGGACATTCAGAGACTTGTCCCGAAGCCACTCCTGTGTTATCTTGGCTGTGTGCTTAGGGTCTTTGTCCTGTTGGAAGGTGAACCTTCGCCCCAGTCTGAGGTCCTGAGCGCTCTGGAGCAGGTTTTCATCAAGGATCTCTCTGTACTTTGCTCCGTTCATCTTCCTCTTGAGCCTAACTAGTCTCCCAGTCCCAGTCCCAGTCCCTGCCACTGAAAACCATCCCCACAGCATGATGCTGCCACCACCATGATTCACTGTAGAGATGGTGCCAGGTTTCCTCCAGGCGTGACGCTTGGCATTCAAGCCAAAGAGTTCAATCTTGGTTTCATCAGACCAGAGAATCTTGTTTCTCATGGTCTGAGAGTCCTTTAGGTGCCTTTTGGCAAACGCCAAGCGGCTGTCATGTGCCTTTTACTGAGGAGTGGCTTCCATCTGGCCACTCTATCATAAAGGCCTGATTGGTGGAGTGCTGCATAGATGGTTGTCCTTTTGGAAGGTTCTCCCATCTCCACTAAGGAACTCTGGAGCTCATTCAGAGTGACCATCGGGTTCTCGGTCACCTCCCTGACCAAGGCCCTTCTCCCCCGATTGCTCAGTTTGGCCAGGCGGCCAGCTCTAGGAAGAGTCTTGGTGGTTCCAAACTTCTTCCGTTTAAGAATGATGGAGGCCACTGTGTTCTTGGGGACCTTCAATGCTGCAGATATGTTTTGGTACCCTTCCCCAGACCTGTGCCTCGACACAATCCTGTCTCGCAGCTCTACGGACAATTCCTTCGACCTCATGGCTTGGTTTTTGCTCTGACATGCACTGTCAACTGTGGGACCTTATATAGACAGATGTATGCCGTTCCAAATCATGTCCAATCAATTGCATTTACCATAGGTGGACTCCAATCCAGTTGTAGAAACATCTCAAGGATGATCAATGGAAACAGGATGCACCTGTGCTACATTTTGAGTGTCATAGCAAAGGGTCTGAATACTTATGTAAATAAGGTATTTTAAAAAATTGTAATATATTTGCAAAAATTTCTAAAAACCTGTTTTCGCTTTGTCATTATGGGGTATTGTGTGTATTTTGATGAGGGAAAAAAATAATTTAATAAATTTTAGAATAAGGCTGTAACGTAACAAAATGTGGAAAAATCAAGGGGTCTGAATACTTTCCGAATGCACTGTAAATACAGTGGGGAGAACAAGTATTTGATACACTGCCGATTTTGCAGGTTTTCCTACTTACAAAGCATGTAGAGGTCTGTAATTTTTATCATAGGAACACTTCAACTGTGAGAGATGGAATCTCAAACAAAAATCCAGAAAATCACATTGTATGATTTTTAAGTAATTAATTTGCATTTTATGGCATGACATAAGTAGTTGATACATCAGAAAAGCAGAACTTAATATGTTCTTAGGGTTGTACTTATCGTTCTTCTTCCTCCAAACACGGCGAGTGGAGTTTAGACCAAAAAGCTACATTTTTGTCTCATCAGACCACATTACCTTCTCCCATTCCTCCTCTGGATCATCCAGATGGTCATTGGCAAACTTCAGACGGGCCTGGACATGCGCTGGCTTGAGCAGGGGGACCTTGCGTGCGCTGCAGGATTTTAATCCATGACGGCGTAGTGTGTTACTAATGGTTTTCTTTGAGACTGTGGTCCCAGCTCTCTTCAGGTCATTGACCAGGTCCTGCCGTGTAGTTCTGGGCTGATCCCTCACCTTCCTCATGATCATTGATGCCCCACGAGGTGGGATCTTGCATGGAGCCCCAGACCGAGGGTGATTGACCTTCATCTTGAACTTCTTCCATTTTCTAATAATTGCGCCAACAGTTGTTGCCTTCTCACCAAGCTGCTTGCCTATTGTCCTGTAGCCCATCCCAGCCTTGTGCAGGTCTACAATTTTATCCCTGATGTCCTTACATAGCTCTCTGATCTTGGCCATTGTGGAGAGGTTGGAGTCTGTTTGATTGAGTGTGTGGACAGGTGTCTTTTATACAGGTAAAGAGTTCAAACAGGTGCAGTTAATATAGGTAATGAGTGGAGAACAGGAGGGCTTCTTATAGAAAAACTAACAGGTCTGTGAGAGCTGGAATTCTTACTGGTTGGTAGGTGATCAAATACTTATGTCATGCCATAAAATGCAAATGAATTACTTAAAAATCGTACAATGTGATTTTCCAGATTTTTGTTTTAGAGTCCGTCTCTCGCAGTTGAAGTGTGCCTATGATAAAAATTACAGACCTCTACATGCTTTGTAAGTAGGAAAACCTGCAAAATCGGCAGTGTATCAAATACTTGTTCTCCCCACTGTAGAATTTAAGAGAATGAAGTTCAATGGTGCAGCACGAAGCCCGTTCCACTTCCTGTATGTTTCTGTTGTCTATATGCTCACCCCTGTCCTCTCTGCTCACAGAGACACTTCATGCAGTGCTCGGAGGACAACCCCATGTTCCAGGGCATCGACTGTGAGGTGTTTGAGTCCCGCTACCCCACCACCATGGCCCTCTCCGTGCTGGTGACCATAGAGATGTTCAACTCCCTCAACAGGTCAGTCAGCAGCCTCTCCTACTTAGAACGGGAACATAGAATATATGATTAAATATGTACATATCTGGTGGTCCTCTCTAGCTCATGGCGCTTGCAACCGCAGGATAGTGGGTTCGATTCCCGTGACCATCCCGTACGTAAAATGTATGCACGCATGACTAAGTCACTTTGAATAAAAGCTAAATGGCAAATATTATTTCTTATATTAACTGTACAACAAGCATACAACCATCTCCCACTGGCACTGATGCACCGTCGTAAAGGGTTACCTGGCCATATATGGCTTTTTATAAGTACAGCTTATTATATTTGCTTAAAGATAGCGTAGCCTACAGTCACATCCGTGTTACTGTGGATACAACTGTTTTCCCACCATTTCCCAAGTGTCAGCATGTTATTTCTGGGTAGTTGGAAGGCATCAGGCCTAGTTCCACGTCTCGTACATGGAGAGATGTCATCATGTTGTTTTGTGATGGAGGGAGAGAGGGAAAAATCTGACTCTCTCTGCCAGGGTTTCCCATGGAGTAACCCTGTCATAAGCTCCCCACAAAACCATAGGCCTAACATCTTTCTCTCTCTCATAAATAGGAAACATTTCTTTGGGAAGGGAATATTATTATTAATAGTACTAGGGTTGGTTTGGCAAGTAATAAAGTAAATTGTGGTTCATTTCCCCAAAGCCAAACGAGACACAGTAAAATTGACAGATGGACCACATTTAAGTTTACGTTAGCTCGGGAAGGCTGTTGTTTTCATTTAGTCAGAACTCCATCCATATGATGTAAGAATATGACCACATTAACAGGTGAGGAAATAACACTTCCATGGAAGACATTTGGGTACATTACAGAATAACTATTTATCTTCGTGTTAAAAGATGATTCAAGTGGAATATATTAAGCAGTCAGTCGATTCATGTTTTGCTCCTGCACTAACTACAGTAATATATCATCACTATTTGCGATTTAGCAGATGCTTTTATCCAAAGTGACTTACAGTCATGCGTGCATAAATGTTTACGTCTTGGTGGTCCCGGGAATCGAACCTACAATCCTGGCGTTGCAACCTCCCGAGTGGCGCAATGGTCTAAGGCACTGCATCGCAGTGCTAGCTGTGCCACTAGAGATCCTGCTTCGAATCCAGGCTCTGTCGTAGCCGGCCGCGACCGGGAGACCCATGGGGGCGGCGCACAATTGGCCCAGCGTCGTCCAGGCTAGGGGAGGGGAATGGCCGGCAGGGATGTAGCTCAATTGGTAGAGCATGGCGTTTGCAACGCCAGGGTTGTGGGTTCGATTCCCACGGGGGGCCAGTAGGAAAAAAATTAAATAATACAAAAATAATACAAAAAATAATACAATAATGTATGCACTCACTTAACTGTAAGTCGCTCTGGATAAGAGCGTCTGCTAAATGACGTAAATGTCAATGTAAGTGCCATGCTCTACCAACTGACACATACAGGACCACTACATCAGACCTGGTACATCTGTAATCTCTGTCCTGTAGACCATGTTTTGCTGCCCAGGTCTGGGGCCAGTAGTTGTTTTGGATATTAAGACAGTGTTCTGATGTGGCCGCTCCTCCTCTGGCCCCTAGTCTGTCAGAGAACCAGTCCTTGATCAGGATGCCTCCGTGGGTCAACTTCTGGCTGCTGGGAGCCATCGTCCTCTCCATGTCCCTCCACTTCCTCATCCTGTATGTTGAGCCCCTGCCTGTGAGTACATATACAGTCTCTGTCCATTTGGCTGGCTGTCTCTGTCTGTCAGCAAGAGTATGGTTTATAGTCTCTCTCTCTCTCTATCTATCTATCTATCCATCTATCCATCTATCCATCTATCCATCTATCTATCTATCTAATCTAATCTAATCTAATCTAATCTGGCAGCAAGAGTATGGTTTATAGTGTCTCTCTCTCTCTCTCCCCCGTCTCTCTCTCTCTCTCTATCTCTATCTCTATCTAGCTGATCTTCCAAGTGACCCCTCTGACCTGGTGCCAGTGGATCGTGGTCCTAAAGATCTCCATCCCTGTCATCCTATTGGACGAGCTCCTCAAGTACATCTCCCGCAACCACTTAGACGGTACGACTCACTGTTTCTAAAATTAGCTTCCTGTAGAAAAAAGGGCATGTGATTGTGTTTGTTTTCCATAGAGATATGTAACTGGCTTTGGTGAGACAACAGAGTTAAGGATAGCTTGTCTTCTTACTGGATAAAAGTTACAGTTTCTCCTTTTTCTGCTTTCCTTATTCAGCCTAAACTCTCTCCTCTCTCCTTCTAGAAAAGGTACTATTTTTATTGTATTAATTACTTTGTTTCGTTCTCCTCCCCTCTCCCCTCTCCCCTCTCTCCTCTCCCCTCTCTCATCTGCTTCCTCCTTGCACCTCTCTGAACCTGCATATTTAGCTAAAACCTGCTAGGTTTTGGACTTAGCTATTTTTTTAGTTTACTTACATTTAGTTTTTATGGCTCAGGGTTAAGCCCTATGCATGGACACATCCATGTAGACGTTCATGTGGTTTTTATTACTGATAAAAATTTGTTTTTTTCCTCCCCAACAGACAACGACGACAAGAAGTACAGGAACAGGCAGCTAAAATATTAAGACCCCCCCCACACCACACACACACACACACAAAATAATGCATGCCCAATTTCACGTAGGCCCAGGAAAGTGAGACGAAAACGACAAAACACATCCAGGACTTTAAAACTTTCCGCTCATCGCTTTTGACTCTGTACATTAACATAGTGGTGCAATAAGTGGACCGTGGGGAGAGAGATAGGTAGGAGGAGGAGAGGGGTCAGTCAGCTGAGGGATTGGGGTGTGTCTACGGGGATAGAGAGAAGGAACAGGGGGGGGGGGCATAACCTGGAGGCTACAGACAGACTTGATGGTACCAACAACAGACGGAGAGACTGGCATGCTAACTGGAGGAGAAGATACCACCAACGGGCAGCTAGAGGAACCACACTGCTTGGCCTGAGGTGTCTGCCCACCCCCCAGGCCAGATGTCTGTGGCAGACTGTTCTAGGCGTACCCAGTACTCATGTGTCCATCCCACCACATAGGAACCCTTTTGTCTGCCAAGGCTTCTTGTCATTCAGATCCACACTATTGGCAAAGTGATCTGGGCTGCTCTGTCAGGATCGTGGTAGTGGCCGTCAGACGACTCTCCTCTAACTGAATCACCACATTCCTCTCTACCTCCTTTTTCCTCCCCTCTCTCTTTCTCTCCACCTCTGTTTGCTGTATATTGAGCTGATTTCTGCAGTTTGGCTCTGATTTGTCCTTATATCTCTCTCTCTCTGTTGAAGAGATAGGCAGCGTTGGGCCTGAGTTGTGATTCATCCAGCCTTGGGCGGTGTGGTGTGGTGTGGTGTGGTGTGGTGTGGTGTAGTGTAGTGTAGTGTAGGCTTCTATCTCCTGAATGTGTGAATAGCTTTCTGCTGCTTGGCTGCTACTGGGGGAGGCGGGGTCAGCCCACAGACATACCAACCGAGATGAAATGTGAAATGTTGACTCCACCCACTTTGAGTTTAAACCCACTCTGCTCAGACTATTCTGACAAGCCTCTCACAGTGTTGAAACTGGAGCTGGTCAATAATTACACACCCCTCTCCCTCCTCCCATGTCCATTCCAGAATAACTCTGTTCCTTAATCACAGCTGTAGATACAGAGTACTACTCATACAGAGGAAATGCACAAAATATACTTCTGCTTTGGAAAGGATGCTTGGGCAGGAGCGTGAGGAGGAGAATGAACAAGCAAGGCAGCTGAATTGGCCAGCCTTCAGTAGAGATATATCAGAGACCTTTGTCTCCCACTCATAAGAACATGAACACGTCATATCAAGACTCTAACACTCCCAACATGCTGTACTTCCCACTTGGACCTAGTAAGGTCAGATAATGAATGTATTTTTCCCCCCCTACCCCTCTACTTCCAGGTCATACCACCCCCGTTAACCCTCTCTAGCCGTTTAGTTAGTTAGTTAGTTAGTTGTGATATTATTGAATAATAATAATAACACGCCATCGCTATCCTTAAAGCATGTTCAGTAAGGCCAGTTTACTCCCCCCGCTGCTCTCCACGCTACCGCCAGTGCTTTTTTTTTGCGTTACAGGTTAACTATTGGGTATTGTTTTTAAAACTAGTAATAATAATGTATTTGACTGAATGAACCCGGGAGGTTTTGGATTGTGTCTTTTTAGCTCTTGTTTTGGGGGTTCGCTGTGGAGCTGTGCTGTGTGGGCTGGGGCCAGTGGGATAGCTAGTGGGAAGCGGACTCTCTAATCAGTGTCTCGTCCAAACTGAGCCTTGTGACACTATGGCAGAGCACCAGCCAGTAAGACCACTGGACCGGTCTTGGGTCAGTCCCCGTCACTCCAGATCAGACGAGTTCTGACCAAGTCGGTTTTTGATTTCATCAAGGAACCGCGTAGCCTACAGTTGTAACATGCAAAGACTGGCTCTTTTTTTAAAGGTTAGACAACCACTTAACTCTTTTTAACCAGTTACCCGTTACACATAACACAGCTTAGAGGAGAGAGGCTAGATGTAGAATACTGTAGCTTGGTTTCGTCAAGGAGATGTATACCAAGGCGATGCAGAAGCTCTCTCTAGTGTACCTATTGGCTAAACAGTGGCAGAAGGCTTCAGGACCGCCCCGTGTGCTTCCTAGCTGGTCCTCAGCCCCAGATCATGATGGACACACATAGCATGCTGGTACTCATTGTGATGTGGGTTTGTACAGTACATTGTTATTTACTACTGAATCCTTGAACTTTGTACAGAAAAATGAGAAAGAAGGATTGCATGGATAGTTTGTTACTGTAATTAATAACCTATACAGTATATTATATTTAATTTTTTGATAACTTACATGACATCAATGAAACCTACCAACAGCAAGAGAACCAACTGCGAGAAACTATTACATTTTTTCTTTAAGCGCATCTTGGCATCTAAGGTTCCCATTTTCTTGTAGACTAGAAAAAGGTTGTTTATTAATCGTTACTGTTGGTTTTTACGGTTGCTAGGGGGTAAAAATGACTGTGTAAAATAAAGAACAATAATCAGGATAATGACCATGAGAATAATAACAGTGATAGTAATCTGGTTTGAGAATGTTTGATGAGCATTTCCAAATTAATTGTGTCTGGTTTACACAGAGCGATGAGCAGTGATGAATCTTGGGTAATGAAGTTTTATGTGTGTTGAAGGGCTTGGTGTGACTGCAGGCTCCAGAGACCCCCCTGTTAGACATTTGGGTCACTGTTAGGAAGGTGGTCCTCTTCTAACCATGGTAGCCTGGTCCCAGATCTGTTTGCGCGGTCAATTGACAACGGCTATAAGCGTAGACAAGACCGCAGAAACAGATCTGGGACCAGGCTAACACTTGGCATCTTGTACTCTGATAAAATAACCACCAATGTGTGTATGATCAGTCAGGTAGTCACCAATCTACAGTTGGCTCTGCTCCCATTGGACCATTCTCCCTGTCAACCAATAGGAAACATTCACAGGCCTCTGGAGCCTGAATCCCACCACTCAGAAATAAAGGATTCTCTTAATTGCCTTGTTAATATTAATTGTGGACACAATTTTATATATGACAAATACATGGAAATAAAGATTATTTATCTTATTTATTCAGAGGTTTGTGTTTCTTTGATTATTTTGTAATACTACAGTTGAAGTCGGAAGTTTACATACACCTTAGCCAAATACATTTAAACTCAGTTTTTCACAATTCCTGACATTTAATCCTAGTAACAATTCCCGGTCTTAGGTCAGCTAGGATCACCACTTTTATTTTAAGAATGTGAAATGTCAGAATAATAGTAGAGAGAATGATTTATTTCAGCTTTTATTTATTTCATCACATTCCCAGTGGGTTAGAAGTTTACATACACTCAATTAGTATTTGGTAGCATTGCCTTTAAATTGTTTAACTTGGGTCAAACGTTTCGGGTAGCCTTCCACAAGCTTCCCACAATAAGTTGGGTGAATTTTGGCCCATTCCTCCTGACAGAGCTGGTGGAACTGAGTCAGGTTTGTAGACCTCCTTGCTCGCACACGCTTTTTCAGTTCTGCCACAAATTTTCTATAGGATTGAGGTCAGGGCTTTGTAATGGCCACTCCAATACCTTGACTTTGTTGTCCTTAAGCCATTTTGCCACAACTTTGGAAGTATGCTTGGGGTCATTGTCCATTTGGAAGACCCATTTGCGACCAAGCTTTAACTTCCTGACTGATGTCTTGAGATGTTGCTTCAATATATCCACATAATTTTCCTTCCTCATGATGCCATCTATTTTGTGAAGTGCACCAGTCCCTCCTGCAGCAAAGCACCCCCCCACAGCATGATGCTGCCACCCCCGTGCTTCACGGTTGGGATGGTGTTCTTCGGCTTGCAAGCGTCCCCCTTTTTCCTCCAAACATAACGATGGTCATTATGGCCAATCAGTTCTATTTTTGTTTCATCAGACCAGAGGACATTTCTCCAAAAAGTATGATCTTTGTCCCCATGTGCAGTTGCAAACCGTAGTCTGGCTTTTTTATGGCGGTTTTGGAGCAGTGGCTTCTTCCATGCTGAGTGGCCTTTCAGGGTATGTCGATATAGGACTTGTTTAACTGTGGAAATAGATACTTTTGTACCAGTTTCCTCCAGCATATTCACAAGGTCCTTTGCTGTTGTTCTGGGATTGATTTACACTTTTCGCACCAAAGTACGTTCATCTCTAGAAGACAGAATGCGTCTCCTTCCTGAGCGGTATGACGACTGCGTGGTCCCATGGTGTTTATACTTGCGTACTATTGTTTGTACAGATGAACGTGGTACCATCAGGCGTTTGGAAATTGCTCCCAAGGATGAACCAGACTTGTGGAGGTCTACAATTTTTTTTTCTGAGGTCTTGGCTGATTTCTTTTGATTTTCCCATGATGTCAAGCAAAGAGTTTGAAGGTAGGCCTTGAAATACATCCACAGGTACACCTCCAATTGACTAAAATTATGTCAATTAGCCTATCAGAAGCTTCTAAAGCCATGACATCATTTTCTGGAATTTTCCAAGCTGTTTAAAGGCACAGTCAACTTTAGCCACAGTAATTTTTCCAACAATTGTTTACAGACGGATTATTTCACTTATAATTCACTGTATCACAATTCCAGTGGGTCAGAAGTTCACATACACAAAGTAGATGTCCTAACCGACTTTCCAAAACGATAATTTGTTAACAAGAAATGTGTTGAGTGGTTGAAAAACAAGTTTTAATGACTCTAACCTAAGTGTGTGTAAACTTCCGACTTCAACTGCATATGTTGGATCCGGTGGGTTGGGTTTGGTTGTTAAAGAACGTTTGATGGAGGGACAAACAAGATCTGTGCACTGTCTGCTGGACCGATTTTTATTTTAATGTTCTTCATACAATATCTTGGAGGGTAGAATTTAAACTGTGATAGTGCCTGAATTAAATCTTACCAGCAGAGGGTGGATTGGATAATTTTCCCATCTCCGAAGATGTCTGTGACTCACATCACTTCACTAGAGAAGACAAATGTCTGTGACTCACATCACTTCACTAGAAAAGCCAATGGAACCATATAGTAGGTAGAGATGTCAGGTCATATCAGGTGTTTTATAATGCTGTCTGGGAGGAGAACAGATTATTACATGGAGGATAAAGATTAATCACTACCTGAGCCCTCTCCTGAAGACCAGATTAGAAGGTAGCCACACACACACACACACACACTGAGCATGAAGTGTGGTATTAAGCCTGAGTATTACTCAGGGGACACACGTGCACTTACTCACGTGCCCTCAAAAACATGCAATATATATATTAGGAACACACCTATAAGTCCTACTGTGAATGATCTGTGATGTTTGACTGACAGGGATGATAAACGACATCCCAACACGTTTCTATTAGAGGTCAGGTCATTAATCAGAGATAATACAGTCCTGGAACAGTAGGTTTTATTAACCCTGTGGACCCTGGTCAAGTGAGCAGTACGTACAGTAGGGAATAGAGTACAATTTGGCACACAACCAAAGTCAATTGCACTTAATTTGCTCAGGCTGGTCTGCGTGTGCCTTTACTCTGCTGTGGTGCAGAATTAGGTTAAGTTCGACATTTTGAAAACAACTAAATATCTATTCCCCCTCCTGAGTAGTTAGTGGAGGCACACATCTTTAGACAAAAAAAAGTGAAATAATTTATCTTCATTTTTTTTTTTTCCCCATCATATAACATTTCATATGCTAGGCTGCCTCAAGTCACAGAAGAGGATAATGGGACATTACTGAAAGGCTCAACTGAGACCTGTGTGATTATTCTGAGAAGCATTTAAATGTCTCTTCAGGTTTGATTAAATTAATCCCACGACACAGCAACTGTCACTTACCCTTTTTTTCATTTAGGATTTTAATCAAAGCTTCATATTCTGTTTTCACAAAAGACAAGTTACATGAGAACTGACTACACAGTCAATGATATCTGTCAATAATAAAACAATATTTTGTTTAGGCTATGCCATCTTTATTTAATTGAATTTCTTGTTAGAACACACATCTTTAATAAGTCAAGAACATTTACCATGGAAAAACTTCATTACAATGTGTACTAAATTCAGCTAAAAAAAATAAAGGGTAACTATGTGATATTACTTTTGGTAAAGGTTTTCCACCTGAACAGAAACCTGTCTTGGTAGGATCCGCAGTGGTTGAGGCTTGGACCAAGAGAAGAATGGATAGAACTTCTCTGTAAAACATGATGTGATTAAAGGTGTGGATATGCCGGAAAGCACCTGGAGTACGATCAAAGAAGGACAGCACCCCTTTGTCAAAGTCCAGGCGCACCCTGACCTTCTTGGGTCTTGTCTTGACCGTCTGTGGTCCAACCAACCACAATTTATAATTTATTGTTTCCTGGGCAAAGATTCTCTGGCCACCCCTAC